GTCTTCTCCACTTGATTGTAGGGTCATCGAATCTTTGATTAAAAAGTTGCAATTATGTAGTTGCCCATGAAAAGATGGATGCGCACTCACTCGTAAGGATCTGCCGACCAGTGTCATCACGATATATTCATGACCACAATAGCGGCCTGCATCGAATAAATCACACATGTGCTTGTTTTGGGCTCGTTTCGCTTGTTCCAGCACGTATCTTTCCACTAATAGTGGATTCTGTAATTCAATAAATTAAAAGCGGATGAAGCTCAGTTAGCTTATCCCCAAAACTTGATCTACTTTCGGCCCATTCTAGCGTCAGTTCGGGACATAGCGGAAGTACAGAACATCTGGGCCCAAACTGTCCTGATGTACATTCCATTGCTTTTGAGAGATGAAGGCACTCAGAAGTAGCCGGTGGAAGCAAAAACCCACTGTGAATTTGCTAATAGCCCCTTTTCCTCGTGCTGCTCAGAAACAAACTGATGATGATGACGATTGGACAAAACGGAAGAAATCAGAGGCCCACTTTGCGCATCATCCTCTAAAATATATGTAGCATTCCAGCAGAGTAACATAGCTTTTTTTCTACAGTTACGCTCTTCAGAAAGTTCCTACTCTAGAAAAGTTAGATTTCTGTGCGAAATAAGACTACTTTAGATTAATTCTGGGCTAGAATCTTATACAATGAACATTGATGCATGCATAAGTACATGTACATGCATACAAACGTTCATATCATTACATGGAAAAAGGAATATTTACTTCGTCTGTGTAGCCATAATCAAATTTAAGCGCGTATCGGTTCCCATGATATCCGACCTACAAAACATACTCTTTGATAAGCAAACTCACTGCCAGTTCGGAGTAAGCTTCTTTTTTTGGTGCCAAGCAGAGTCGCTGATAATAAACAATCACAAGCACACTGTTGTGCGTTTTTGCAATAAGATGCTGCGGAAAGAGCGAGTTAAAATGTTTCTGTACGGTCAAAACACGCAGCAGTATGTGGTCACAACGGTTTTTTAACCTATTCACTGCACTGAAATTCATGACGTAATAATGGCTAAAGAAGTCACTGAAATTCGTGACATTTAGCCTAACGAAACTCGACATTTTTCAAAACAGTTAGAAATTCAGCAAACGGAGAGAGTTAAAAATTTTATTGCTGCACAATATGACTGATTTGTATGTCCCTCAGCTTTAGTTAAACCGGCCACAGAAAGTTTCAGTTGCGCTGGGACGTTACTTACGAAAAAAAATTTTGAGGGAGCAGAGGCAAGAAGGGAAAGTGAAATGAAGCGGGTCGTGAATGAAAAAGCAAGAGGAGTTTTACTTTTGATTTCCAATTGACGTTACTGTTTTTTTTTACTTTTTTTTAAATGAAGGCATAACACAGGCAGACATGACACAGTGGGGTCAGCACTGTTGTCGTAAAGTAAGTTGAAGGTTTGATTTTGCTGGTGGGACAACCAGTTCCTCTACTTTTCTTTTCGATGGTAAATTGGTACTGGCGTGTGTTAGAGAGTTAAACCGGCCATCAGTTTGCTTGTAGGGCTATTGAAGCTGTTGCTAGCTGGTGGTTGATGTCGGCATTTGTTATCACTCGGGTCAATTCTCAAGCGTTTCCATCTCCCGCTAAGGGCGAAATACGGAGAGGGGTTTGACTTTTGAGCTCACCGTTTTATGCGGAGGAAAAAAAGAGTTGACATTTACGTCATAAATGTGATAGTACGCATTATTTGATGATAAAACAATATTGCCCCGTGGCTTCTAGAATCAGTCTTAGTAAGATTAGTAAATAATTGGTTCACAAGTCACTATCTGGTTAAACCTCCTTTTGTAACATCCATTCAGGCAGACTTCTATTAATTTCAAGAATGAGGGAAGGCTAGAATTTTTTTGGATTAGATACAATATTCCAA